AAAAAAGAAAAGAAAGAGAGAGAGAGAGAGAGAGAGAGAGAGAGAGAGAGAAGAAAGAAAAGGAATAAAAAAGAGTAAGAAAAAAGAAATTAGGGACTCATTTTTTATTCGTCTTTTCCAAGTCAGAATGCGAAAGCCTTAACCCTTTTCTTTCGCTACTATCGGACATTGAACAAGGAAGGGATCCAAGAAGGTCATAAGGCCAATCAAGGCGATCTACCAAAGGTCCAACTCGATTCCAACTTTTCCACCTTTTTCCTTTCGCCAGTGGAACGATAAAAGCGGAAGTATATCTTCTGTTCTTTTGTTTTTTCCGTTCCAAGACAAGCAACCAACCACCCGACGGCCATTATATTGGCTCGTCGATGGTGAAACTCATCTATTCTCTTCTATTCTCTTCTCGACTATCTATCTATCTGTCTATCTGTCTATCTATATATATATATATATATATATATATATGTATATATATTCATATATATGTATTCTAGCTATTTTCATCTCTTTTCTCTCGTACCATGTTAAATCGATACTAATAAAGACTACGTTAAGTACGTAATTTTAATCTGACTATCAAGAATGACAGAAGCGAAGCGTAGTAAGTGAACGTTTCTATGTAAAATGAGAAAGAGAAAGAGAAATAGAGACACACAGAGAGAGAGAGAGAGAGAGAGAGAGAGAATAAGAGAAGAGAAGAGAAGTTTCCAACTTTCCGTCTCGAAACGAGTTATATATATATCTATCTATATCGTGGAAAATCGTCTAGAGAACTACATACGAAAACAGAAGATCTGTAGGTTTGAAGTTGGGAATTCTACGAGAGGACATCATCCGCGTGACGTGCTTACAGAGAAAGAGAGAGAGAGAAAGAGAGAGAGAGAGAGAGAGAGAGAGAGAGAGAGAGAGAGAGAGAGAGGCAAACGTGTATCGCGTCTTGTTCGAAGATTCGATTCGAAAGTAGTTTAACCGTAATGCGAAATCGTGTAGTAGGAAGCTTTCTAAGTAGATGCAAAACGTGTACCTAGATGATGTTAATCCTCACGATAGATATCGATCTTAACTCGGTTTTAAGAAGCTCTTCGATCGTAATAGGATTAAGGGGTAAACTTTCGAACGAAACGGCGAAGAAAAGGAATTGGACATTTTGAGGTCAAGAAGTACTCCTTTGAATAGCCCAGAGATAAGTGATGGTAGTAAGATAGATCGAAAGGTATCGAGGTCAAACCGATTTGATCATAGATCGAAAGCATCGGACAAGACTCGAAGCTTGAATCTCGAGGAAAAGGAAGGATAATATCGAAGGTGACGAGAACCATACTACAAAAGGGGATGTAGGAGGGAAAAGTGAGAGGAAGGGAGGATTTTAAGAGAGGAGGGAGTTTAAGTCTCGTAGCTACGGTTGACAACTCGATGCATCCCTTCCATATCGGATTTCTCCGATATGGACGAACTAGAGAAAAGAGAACGAGTGGGGAGTCTTATCGAGTTTCTTTCTATGCGAGAAAGCAACGATAGCAGATCGTAGGACGGAACTTGGCTTTTGAAATTCCACTGTCGGAAAAGATTTTACGGTACATCCCGGTGAAACGAACGGAAACAAGGGATTTTCTTCGATGGCTCGAAAAGTCCGAATCGTTCGCAATCGCTCGACTGAAAGATTCTATTCCGATTTTCCTATCGAGATAAGTTTTCGTTAGAATAATAACACCTGTACCAGGAGAAAGGGATAATATGAAATTTTTTTAAGCTGAAAATATTCCCTCTGGATCGCCATTGAAAATAATCGATGAAAAAAGTTCGATAATGCGAATGATACATTTTAATCATTTATCCCTGACAAATTTTGAATTAACTACAGTTACGATGTACGATCATAAAAGCGATATAATATTGAAAGGTGAATAGAAATTTTCTGAAATGACACTTTATAGACATATTGACGGAGGAATAAATTCGAAATCTATGGAAACACTTGGAGAAATTTTTTCGAAAGATCAAATTCCGGAGGTAGGTACGGCTCGGGTGATTCAAGGAATCACTTACACTTACGTTATCCATCGAAAGCTATGCGAGATTTACTCGGACGAATGCACAGCAAGACGGATCTCGGAGGGACTATAAAATTGCAGCAGTAAAAGGTGGAGCGTCGGTTGGGTGGGGGGTGGGGATGAGGGCGGTGACGCTACTGAAAAAGAAAAGAAGAAAGAAAGGATGGAAGAAAGGAAAGGGAAAAAAGGCCAAAAGAAAGTACAAAAGTACCACGAAAAAACTATCGAGTGCTTTCTCGCTTTCTTCTATCGGGCAAATTGTATCGGTGTCAGACGTGCCGAGTTTCTCTTTCTCTCTCTCTCTCTCTCTGTTTTTTCCCCTGCCCTTTTCATTTCGGAATCGTCCTGGATTCTTCGGACCTGACGGAAATTACATTCTCGATCAGAACGTGGAAACGCCAAGGAAGCGAGAAAAAAGGCGCGCGGATCCGCGCGTTCAACTTTTCAGAATGAAATTCTTCAAGAAATCGTCTAAGGATGGCTTTGGTGTTCGTATCAGCATCCAAGCGATTAAAGAGTTCTTCTTGACCTCGAAAAAAGAAATCGATTCGATCAGCCTTAGAGGTCGCATTGATTTTAACGATTCTAGGTCATGTAGATATTTTTCGATTGACTTTTTCTTCGAACTTTCGAATAAGAGGATGGTCCTTTGGTATAGTCGAAAAGACGTTGCTTTTATGATTATATTTATCATGCTTTCGAGCAAAAGAAAAGAAAAAGAGGATGAAAAAGAAAGAAAAAAAGAAAGAAAAAAGCAAAGAAGAAGAAAGAAAAGAAAAATCTCAAGCAAAGATGAACATTTTCACTGAGTAGTATCACCTCCGGTGCATCTTATTTTAAATATCGCGATGCGATGGAGCGAATGCTCAGGAAAAAGAGAGAGAGAAAGAGAGAGAGAGAGAGAGAGAGAGAGAGAAAAAAAGACGGATATTAAAAAGTATGGCTGGAGAAAGGAAAAGGAAAAATATTCCATTCGGTGGCACATCCAGGATGGTCCGTTGAAATTGCATCGAGGAACTTTCGAGGGAAGAAATTTCACTAACTCTCGACACTTCTCCTGGTTGCCGAGACTAGCTAGCAAACGTTAGATGATATCTTATACTATTGTTCGCTCCAACTTCTTCCCGGACTATGGAAAATTTGACATTGTCCACGCGAAATGTTAACTTTTAGATGTTAAGTCTGACATAAAGGCATCATAACTGAAAGAGCAACGTAAACCTTTTACCTTTTTCATACGTCATCGTGATCTTGGAAGGGACTCGATTTAAAATGTGATGATAACTTGAACGAATAAAAACGATGAAATTGTATATATTTCGTCGAACGTATTCGGATGTAAACTTTGAATGTTTGCACGTTCTCTATCCTTCGATATTGCCTACTTTCCTCTCTCGTATTCGACTCTACGATCTTGATGGTCGAACGTGTTACGTACGCAAACTTGCAACGAATACCTACCTATCTATCCACCTACCTACCTACCTACCTACCTACCTACCTATCTACGCATTCGCGAAAAGACGATACATGATCATTGCTTTGAATTTTTTCAGCTTCGACGAATTTTCAACATAGGCAAGTACACATAGAGGGCAAATAAAAATACGAAACTAGGTATCCGTACGGGATTCTTGTCAAAGATACCGAGGAACTGGAGTGAAATAATGCAAGAGGGAGAAAAATATCCAAACCTCATGCCATACCTCGTCCTTCCTCTCTACCTCCTCAACAAATATAACTCAAGTACCGTTCTTTAAATTTTCTAGGACTCATCCTTTCTCTTTCATCTATTTTCTCTGTTTTATGATTTTCCCTTTATCGTACGTTTCATGGGACACCACATTTTACGTATATACATACGATAATAACGAGAAGGAATATAATATATGGATATAAAAATTTCATTATTCATCGATTCATTCTCGTTCGTATCATAGATAGATTTTATCGAAGAACTGAAGGAATCTAAAATATCTATTCTTTAATGAGCAAATGTACAAACGTTGAAACGAAAGGATTTGTATGTCGATAGAATCGTAAGATCGATAGCTTGGTCAACGTGATTTTCTGACCGACAAAGTAGAGTAAATTAGAATTTCGCAAAGCCATTAACAGGAACAAACATTCTCGCATCTTCGTGTACCTCGTCTTATCTGTATCTGCTTGCAAATATTTTATCTCTAAATCTAACTCTAACTCTAACTCTAATTCTCTCTCTCTCTCTCTTTCTCTCTCTCTCTTTCTCTCTCTCTCTCTCTCTCTTTCTTTCTTTTAGAATTTGTTGATTCTGTTATTATCTTGACGAACGCGATATCAGGACAAAGGTCGAGTCAAATAAAAAAAAAAAAAAAAGAAATCAATTCGGGCGAGCAACGAGCATCGAGCATAAGTCGTTAGAAAAATCTATTTGATGTCGAGGAATAAAAAAATTGGACCAATTATGATGGCGCAAGCAAGACAATCATACCTACGTCCCTAACGAACCGCGAATCATCGTTGGTTTTTGCACAAAGCGCATTATAAACGTACGTATAACCGAGCTTAGAACGTACGTTCAAAGAGAACGACATGCAAAAAGCAAAAGCGTCGGAGTACTTATGCGAACATATTTAATGGCGGTAGACTTCAAACGTATGAAAGTCGTGGAACGACTCAACGCAAATTCTTATGTTTCGTCGTTATAGGCGCGTATTCTAAACGATTGCTGATAGCAATGAAAAAAAGGTAGCAGTAAAAAAATTTATCCTTTTTATATTTTAATTGAACTTTAATATCTAACGTCTCGTTTTATTTCTCATTATATTTCTTATTTTATATATATATATACATATATATATATATATATATATATATATATATATATATACATAGATATTTTTCTTTTTTTCCATCGCGAATAATAATTCAGTTTTAATGCCAAACGCACGCGATCGTATCTCTTCGTTGCAGGAGTGAGCTCATCTCGTCGCAAAGGATGGAAGGAATAATTCAATCTTTCCGAAGCAGAACGAGCGAAAGTTTCGAAAAGCGCATTCTTCGTGATTTTCGCGGCTGGCTATTGGTGGGGCCGACAACGACGAAGAGGACGAATAGTTGGATGAGAAAGAGCGAATATACCAGGTCGGTCTCTCCTCTTACTCCTCCTTCTATATCATAGCAATTTTACGCTCGAACAAACGCGCCGTTTTGAAGCTCACCGAACTCGCTCAAGAACTTGAAATGATTTGTACGTTGAGTTTGACCTCCTACTTCAATACGAAGATAGGATTGGATCTTCTTAATTCAAACTCTGCTTGCCCGCGAGCAAAGAGGACCGAAGTATAGACTTTCTCGCGAAACTATGATTCTCCGATCTTGTCTTTATTATCTCCGTTACGCTTAACTTAACGAGTCACCGTATTAATCCGATCATAAACTAAGATCGTAAAAATCGTTTGATCGGATAATAGGATGGTATCAATGATTAATTACCGCAATGTAAATTACGTCTCGATCAAAGTTACCTTTGTATTCTTCAAAAATAAAATATTATCCGATAGTTAGTTCCAAAGGAAGGTAATATATATTTACATTTACAAACTCTTTCGTGATCATTTGATCGATAAAGATAATCCGAGAAGATGCAAATCAGTCCTTAATGGGGTTAGCTTACGAAACACGAAGAAGACCTCGTAGATTTTGTAAGACCGTAACAAAGAGGAATAAGTAAACGTCCTGAAGTGAGATCGATAGAAACTGCCTGGCCGAAGAAAAGGTGCCAACACTTCTTTACTTTGAAAGACCGATTTTATCGAGAGAAAATTCTAATATCTATGCTTTTAGGTCGTATTGTCAATAACTCGAATTATATCCAATAAAAATCTATGTTCTATAGTATACATATATATATATATATATGATATTCGCTTGCTGTATTTTTTATTTCCATATTATATACGTAGATAAAACGAAAATGTCTCTTAAGAGCTTAAAAGAATAAAAAGAAAAAAAAAAGCAAGAGAGCTTTTCATATGAATGCGAGATGAAACTCCTTTGCGAGAAAGAGAGAAAAAAAAAGGAGACAAAGAGAGATAGAAAGAAAAAGAGAAAGAGAGATAGAGAGATAGAGAAAGAGAGAGAAAGAGAGCAATAGATTTGTTAGTTTCTTTATTGAGATGGTTCAATGGGAATCTCGATCTACGTGTACGCTTAGAAAACGTTTCTCGAAGAAGTTCGTGAGAGAAAGAAAAGAAAAAAAGAAAAAAAAAAAAAAAGAAAAAGAAAAAAGATAAAAAAAAAGAAAGAAAAAAAAAAGAAAAGAAAAGAAACGACATAGAGCGTTTAATGCACCGTTAAGGAATGCACAGTAAATATTAAAGCGCGCGATATTATGGTGCAAGCATTTGGATCGCAAAAGAAACGTAGGTAATCGAAGAGGAGAGTAGGCGATGCGGAAACGAGGAATACGAGCGAAATGCTTTCTTCTCGAAGAAAGACTAAAACGTGGACGCTCGAGATAAATTCTGTCGAGCGAAAAACGAGTCGGAAACTAGGAAGGAAGCAATGCTTCTAACGAAGGCTTTTCGAGTTAAGGCGATTGTTCTACGTGTTATTACTCGGGACACCCGAGGAAAGACGAGAAGAGACAAGAGAGAGAGAGAGAGAGAGAGAGAGAGTGAGAGAGAGAGAGAGAAAAAGAGAAAGGGAGAGAGATAGAGAGAGATAGAGAGAGATAAAGAGAGAGAGAGAGAGAGAGAGAGAGAGAGAAAGAGATAACTTCTGTTTTTGCAAAATTCAATTTCAGAAGGAATAATCTCGAGATTAACGATGCTTTTGTTTTCTAATCCTTCTCAAAGGCGATCACGAGTAACCACGCAGTTATCTTCGTTCGTTATCCCTTCCGTTTTCAACACGACAGATTTATTTTAGTTTAACATTGACAATACGATTTCGTAAATGACAGGCACTTAAAATTTTTCCAATGTTTATATCCTAAGTAGTTGTTCTAGTACGATATTGTAATAATCGAAGTTGTACTAATGAAATTTTGAACTTTGTCAAATGTTGTTCGAACTATATACATTCTAACGAGGCTATAATCACGTATTAATCATAGTTTCATCGACGAGCAATATTTTAATTACAAGGCTCTATCCTACGGCCATTGCCGATGCCAATCGTAATTACAGTTTTGAACAAATACTATTCTTTGTTAAGCGACCACGTTAATTACAACGCAATTTCGATATATGTGGATCATGTCAATTTGTCGACGACGTAAAATCAAAAGTATGCATGTACATACGTATCTATATACAAATGCGTATTCCATTTCGAGAAAGTTAAATAAAAGCTTTGCCAAATAATACTACGGTTTGAAAATTGACAATTTTATTTCTTTCTCGTAATTCTACTTACTTATATATATATATATATATATATATACCAATTGAGCGTCAATGTTTTATGTCGAGATGACATAAAAAAAAAAAAAAAAAACAGAAAAAAAGCAAAAAGGAAGAAAAAGAAAAAAAAGGACAACGAACAAAATTCGTTTCTAGTTAACAACGAGGAATAACGCGATGTCAACTTTTTATGATTCCCGTCGAAAATCCTTTTTCCAACGTCTGGTTTTTTCTTTTTTATTTTCGTATTTTTTTTTATTATTATTATTATTATTTCTTCTTTTTCTTTTTTCTCTTTTTTTATTAACAAAAGAGTGTTACGGATATTACACGCAACCAGCCAGAGAGTTTCCACGATTTCAACGATGGCGGACGAATACGCTCTTCAGGATTAAAACGAGTATAAGTGCAATACAGGATTCCCATGCACACACTTGCATATATCTACACTTCTATCTACTGGTAGAAAAAGCAGCAGCAATAGCAGCAACAGCAGCAGCAGCAGCAACAGCAGCAGCAACAGCAGCAGCAGCAACAGCAACAGCAGCAGTAGCAGGAGCGGCAGCTCGTGTCTTCACAGTCTGTGCAATACACGTCGATGCTCTCGCGTTCATGCATACGTGTACCCATCCTCCAAATAAACTGAGCCGCGAGTTGCGAACATTGGACCAACGATTTTCCAGAAAACTTTTCGACCGGCTGTATCATGCAATTAACCGTGCAAGAACGATCTGTGAATTCTGAGCCATTCAAAATAAACGCCAAGGATTTCACGTGATTTCTCTATCGTTTCTCTCGTATTTTATTTAATAACATCATATGTCAACAATTTCTTTTTAAATCGTCTTCATAAAAATACTTTAGGATCGATTATAAAGAAAATATTAAAAAAGAAAAAAAAAAAATTAATCGATCGTGGTACCTTGCGAGATAAAGTACGTTGCATTTTAATAACCATAACAGGACGTGTACGCGAGATTGAAATAATCATTCTAACACGACGGGTAAAATCGTTCTCGTTCCGAGCAAGACTGTAACGCGCCGAATCACATTATTTTTCAACTTTTACAATTAACCCGGTACGAGTCATTAAAACTTCCGTGCCTTGAATGGCACGAAATTGAATGGCATGCTCTCAGCGTTTACGCGCACCATGTAAAATTGCAGTAATATTATACGGATATTAAGTTTACTGGAAAAAGTGTCTAGACACAAGTACCTTCATATCTATGTATACATACAGGATACCTGTATACATTTTATAACGGCGATTATTTCATAGAAAATTTTTTGAATAAATTATGAAAGTATAAGTACATATTCTTATCTGCCTTACGTCAATTCAATTCAATTTGCTTAAACCGTGAATTCTATCAGCGGTGTTCCTGTTTCTCACAAAATTAAGCTTCTCTTTGACCTAACATCCGAGGACAGCAGCAAGGTTTGTGACTCTAATGAAGTGCCAAACAAGTTTCCAGGACAGTCGCGAGAAACTACTGAACCAAGAAGTACTTACAAGCTAGGAAGTTCCGCTCTGTAGTAATGTCTATTCGAGTAACCCCAATGCGGGTGGTTTCGAAATTAGTAGAGCTATGTTACCGCACAGCAACGTTGTGCAACTTTTAGTAATGTATTCGGTATATTCAATCTGTCAGTCTCCAGTTGTTCTAGAAAACAGCCTATAAACAAAGTTTCCTCGATCGATCTGTCAAATCGTATCGGGATCTAAATCATTGATTGTTATTAAGGATCGAATGAATTGCTAAAAGCAGTAAAACTAGATGTAGTTAAAATCAAGACAATGTTCGATTCATGAAACATTCAGAATGTTATTATTTTTTAATAAATAAAAAGAAAGAGAGAAAAGAAACGATGTCCTTATGATAGTAAGGTAACAGTATTGAAGATAAAAAAATAAGTGTAATCGATAATCCTCGAAAATAATTTATTGATCTACCGAATATCATTGAATGTTAATAAAGATATCAATTTTCCAAAAACATTGAAATTATTAATACGCTATTAAAGGAACTATAATCCGTTATATCGACACGTTATATTGAACACTCTCAACTCGATTGAACTAACTTTTCTTTTGGCTGGTATCAAAGTTCGACTAACAAGTTTTTAACAATACCTATCTCAAAATGAATTCAAAAATTAAAGAAAATCTGTCGAGTAATTAAACTTCGACCATTGAGGTGGGCAACTTTAATACCAAACTTTCATACTTGTAAACTTTTCTAAGAGATTGTATTGTTCGAGAAGAATCTTGTCATTGACGTATACAAGAAAGTATGACAAGGATTATTCAATTAATGACTTCATCGATAAAATGAACAAGGAAAGGAAAAACTATCGATGAAAATATGAAGAATACGCTTGTTTATTTTTTTAATGAGATAAAAATAAAAAAAAAGAAAAATATTAACGAGGACGACGTCGTAATCGAATTCGTTGTTAATAAACTTTGAATTTTTTTTACAAGAACAAAGAACGCATTTTTAGAGAATTCCAATATATATATATATATATATATTTGATCATAAGGAAAGGCAAGGATTGTCAGCTATGCATATATGTATATATGTACGTAGAACTAGCAAAGTAAGAAAGGATGTGCAGAATAGCATTGGTAGCAGGTGCATAGAAATAGGGACTTCTACAATCAATTCTAACGTTCAAGTTTCTATATTTACGAGCCGAAGACCGGAGACCGCAAATGCGATGTTAGCT